CCCCTTCCCCCCCCCCCAAACCCCCGCATGCGTGTCACACCATCCTTCCTTTTTTCCCGCCGGCCTTTCTTCCACATCCCGACTCACCACCACCATGACCACCACCATTTCTATCACCATCCTCTCGTATCAGGCTCTCGGAAGATCTTCTGCATCGCATTCTCGAGTCGGAAAACATCCTGCGCGAGCATGTGCCCGAGGCCGAGTCGTCGACGAGCACTTCGGTCGATGAGCTCGAATTTGAACGTGTACGGGCGGTGAGCACTAGTGATGGAAGTGACGGAGCTGGCCTGCCTAATCTTGTGGGGCTAGTGGCGAGCTCGGGTGTGACCAACATCATCGATGCTCAGCTGGCCCGCCTGGTGGCCCATGCCGCCACCTGGTCGTCTGCCTTTCAGGAGGTGACTCAGGCCCGGTACGCCATCGTCCTCCGTGTCCTCACCTCGGTCACCAACCAGTCGCGTCGTCTCGAGCTGGCCAATGACTCGGACGGAAGCGGCGAGGGCGGTGAGGGCTCGCCGGAAGACGCGGCGTCCAAGCTCAACCCGCTGCCGGACGCCAACCGTCCGCAGGCCAACCTTGGCATGCAAATCGCCATCAAGGTCTTCCTCTCGGTGGTGGCCAACACCGATCCGTCTGGCGCGGCTCCGGCAGTTGAGCAGCTTCTCGCCCTTGTCTCAGGCTCCAAGGTTCTCGACCTCGCCAACGAGGACGACGACTTTCTCGATGCTCTGGTTGCCTGGCTCGTTGCCGTCCTCGATGCCGACGCCGTGCCTGAGGCGCTCGCCACCGGCGCCGCCACTGCTCTTCTCACCCTCGCCGCCTTTACTGGCTTTCAGGGCCGCATGCTTGACGCGATGGCTCGCCTCGTGGCCCACCCAGCAGCATCGGACGTTGCCCCGGCGTATGTCGATGCGCTAACCAAGATCTCGGCTTTCAAGACCTCGCTGGAGCTCGGTACTCTCGCCAACTCCTCGCCGCTCGCGCATCTGGCCTTCAACGCCGACCTCGCCTCCGAGCTCAAGGGAAAGGCGCTCTCGGCCGACGCTCGAGCGTCAGTGGTCTCGGACGGCGCTTATCTTTACATCCACGACGCACGTGGCTTGCTCAAGGTTGGCACCGGCCTGCAGGGCTCGGCGCCCGGTCACGTCTACTACGCCGACCGCAAGTTCTACCCCGACGCTCATCTTTGGCTTTCCGTCATCGCAGGCTCACTCTACGTCCGCTCTGCTGCTCTCTCGGACAACGCCGTCTTTGAAGTGTACGACACGGCCGACCTTGCTTCGCCACACCGCATCGTCACTCCGTCTGATCTCCTCATCACCACCTCTGATCCACAGATGGCAACCCTCGCTTCGTCCGCGTTTGTCCCCGAGTACGACTGGAAGACTGCTGCGCTCGCCGCCAAGAATACCACCTGTAGTTCGTCTACTGGGGGTTTCGGCATGCACTTTAACTGCCAGTCTTGCAACTACGCGAGGGTCTGTGCCGCCTGTGCCGCAGAGTGCCACAAGGGCCACAACCTCGTCATGGACGCCAATGAGTCATACTCTTACTGCAACTGCGCTGCCCGCGCGCTCGACGCGGACCCCAGGCCGTGCCGTACCCGCCCCCTGCCACATTGGGGCACCCTCTCCGCCGCCTCGCCGTCATGGTCCGACGGCCGCTATCTCTACATCCTCACTCTCCGCCCCAAGCCCGACGACCTTGTTGCCCGCGAGGAGCGGCGCCTTGCCAAGTGGCGCGCAAAGCGCGCAAAGATTTTTGCCAAGGCTGATGCCAAGCTCGCCGCGTCTCGTAACGCTGCTGCGGGCACTGACGCCGGCGCGTCGTCGTCAGCCGCTGCCGCTGCTGCCGCTGACTCCGACACTGCCGACTTGCCCGCAGACACCGACGCCGCCGACGACATCGACGACACCGCGTCGGATGGATCGCTTGACCGCTTCGAGATCGACGGCAGTCGTGCCCGCCCTCGCCGCGACATCACTCTTGCCCGCAAGGCCGGCAACGACCTTTCCGCGGATCAGCAGGAGCTCGAGCTGTGGGAGTCGGGCACCCGTTACGTCATCGTTGTTGTTGACCCGCTCGACAGCTTCCACCTCGTTGACGTCAAGCGCCTCGACATTGAGCGTGCAGGCAGCAATCTACCGCTCGAGAGTCTCGGCCGCTTCTCGTTCTACTCCAACGGCTCCATCCTCGTTGTGCAGCAGGTGGCCGACTTCAATCCGCCCAAGCCACCGACAGGCGCGTTCAGCAACTCGCTTGGAGGCTTTGGTGGTGGAAGCAGCTCGCAGCCCAACCTCACCATCACAAGCTTTGACCTCTCATGCAAGGGCGTGACGCTCGGTGCACCCGACGAGGTGAACAAGTTCTCCAACGCGCTCCTGACTACTGCGAATGTGCCGACGGATGCAGGCTTGAGCGCCTCTGCCTATGATTATGTCAACAACATGATCTGGGCCTACTCGTCCATGCACCTCCGCTGTGTGCCATACAAGAACGCGACGCCACCGCCGCTTTTCCGCTTCCCGGCTCCACCGGCAGAGGGCCACAGCCACGACTTTGTCCACTCGTCCGACGACGCCCTCGCGCACCCGGCCTTTGCCCTCCCGTCCGACCAGCAATCTTCCATCCGCACTGGCACTGCCATCGTCCGCACGCTTGCGCTCCTCGACCAGCACGCCGCCGACCATGCCCAGCGCCTGGCACTCACCGGCTCGACCGCGCTCTCGGCTGCGGCACTCTCGGCCCCGTTTGCCCTCCACATTGCGCCAGCGACCTTTGTCGCACTCCTTAACCTCGCCCGCGCTCTCCACTCCTCCATTCTCGAGGCAGCCCCCGGTCCGCGCTCTGCCCTCATTCAGCCGGTCTACGGCCTCGGTGCCACGCTCCGCCTCCTTGCCGCAAACCTTTCCCGCCTCGTCGAGCTTCAGATCGACCCTGCCGCCGTTGGCCTCGGTGCCCCGAGCTGGACGTCGGCCGCCGTTGCCCGGCGTCGACGCCGAACAACATTCTCGTTGACCTCCATGGCCTCCTCCTCGCCATGCTCGAGACCACTCTGTCGGATCCGGAGCTTCACGCTGACGCCTACGTACCCATCGCATCTGCCGTCTGGGAAGTCTTTGCAGCTGGCCTCGACGCTTTTACCCGACTGAGGACCAGCAGCTCTTCCTCCTTCTGGCCGTCCTCGACCCAGCGTCGGTCGAGGACCGCGAGCTGCCGGTCAACCTGCCGACGGACAACGCCCATGCCACAGGCTCTGCGCTCCGTGCCTTTGCCGGCGCAGTCATTGCCTCAGACTCAACTGCTGTCCTCAACGCGCTTCTTGGCCGTCTTGCCCTCAACTCGAACGCATCGCTCCTAATCTGCCCCGCTGGCGCATCATCTGGCGCCGCCATTGATCGCACCATCATCATCAACTTGGTTGAGCAGGCCCTCGCCTCGTTCGACGACTCTCTTGCTGCCGCCATCGCCGCGGGCCCTCATGCCTCGCCTGCCGCTGCGCCGCAGCCAGCGCCGGCCGGCCGAGCTCTCCTAGCCTTCCTCAAGGGACTCATCCAGCGCGTGAGCTCGTTTACTACACAGCTGGCCGATGCTGCTGCCAAGCTCAAGACTGCGAAGGAAGCTGCCGCGTCGGACAAGAGTGCTAAGGCCAAGGCCGATAGTGGAGCCGAGAGCGGGGCTGATGCCGCTGCTTCAAGCGAGACCGCCGACGACGACGCTCCGCCCTCGCTCGCCGAACGCGCTGCTGCCCTCGAAGACGCCGAGTACGAGAAGAATGTGCTTGTTGACGCCTGCGTCGGCGTTGTGGCATCCGTCCTTGACGCTGGCACCACCGCCCTCCACAAGCTTCGCACCAGCCTCGACTCGATCTCGCTCGACGCTGCCGAGGCTGTTCTTGCGGCTTCGCTCGTCGGCCGTGTCTTCCCGGTCCTCACCGCCTTGCTCGGCACGCTCAGCTCAACGATTGGCGTCCAGGCTCCGCTCATGGCCCCGCTTGTCCGTGTCCTACGCGAGTTTAGCCCCGTCGCCGCCGCTTTTGAGGCCAACACGGCCGCCGAGGCCGAGTACAACGCTGGCCGTGCGTACCGCCAGTCTGGCGGCGCCGTCCGCGTCGTCGAGTCGGCGCATCCCTACACGGCCAACACCGACGAGGACTTCTCGGTCCGCATTCCCGGAGCCCATGCTCTCGAGATCACCTTTTCCTCGCAGTCGAACCTGCAGTACAACGACATGCTCACCCTCTACCTCAAGCGCGGGCACAAGTCCCGCTTCCGCCGCTTCGAGTCGTACGGTGCCTTCCAAGAGACGCGCGTCATTGTTCCCGGCGACGCCGTCTACTTTCATTTCAAGTCGCAGTCGCAGTCGTACGGCGACTATGGCTTCAAAGCCACCGTCACGCCGCAGCTCAAGGCCGAGGCCCCGCTCGAGCTCCCGTGGATGCTTGACACGTTCAAGAGCCTCGGCTACGTCGCCGGTAAGTACGCCGCCATGCTGGTGGCAGCCAAGCCACAGATGGAGGTCCCGCCGTCGCTCGCCCACTGGCGCGCATCGCCGCTACTCTCGGGTGGTCTCTCGTCCATCATGCTGCGCGCCAACCCGGACGCCGCCCGTGGCGACGCCCGCTATGACCTCGCCCCGCTCCGCGCTGTCCTAGAGGCCTCGACCGCCCAGCTCCCTGCTATCCCGCCGGCCTTTGCCGAAACCCCACAGGCCGAGACCGATGTCTTTACCTCGTTCCTTGGTGCGTTTGTGGCACAGGGCGAGCTCCCGCTCGGGGCCAACGCCACGCCTGATGCGCTTCCAGCCAAGCTCAACGCATGGATCCTCAACAACTCGTCGGTTCAAGTCTTTCTAGCCCGCGAGCCACGCGCCGCCGCCTACAACCGCGCTACCCGCGCCATCATCGCCGGCATCCTCCGCCACTCGGGACTTGTCAAGGAAGTCCACGCCCTCGCTACTGCTGTCGAAGCTGGCGCCGATACGTTTACTGCCACCAAGCCGCCGCAGCACCTGGTCATGGTGTGGAAGATTGCATCCAAGGCCCGCCGGTTCCTCATGGGCCTCGCCCGCCCGCAAGCCGAGCTCCCGTCAGCCATGGTTGCTGCCGCCGCCTCGTCGCCGGCCGACGACGCCGCACCCGCCGACGGCGACGCCGCAGCCGACAAGGCCAAGGCTGACGCCGCCGCCAAGTCCAACGCCCGCGTTTCCTTTGACTCGTATGTCGAGGCCATGGCCGCAGTCGAGGACCGCATGCGCTTCCTCCTCGACGCCGCCCCGGCCGCAACCCACCTTCTGTACGCCCTCTCGTCGCGGCCCGAGACGCCCAAGTCGACCGCGGCCAAATCGCGGTGGGACGCGCTTCGCACCTCAGTCACCTCGCGGGTTGGCGCCGTCGGCACCGAGTCAGACTCTGTTGTCGCCGCCCTCAAAGACCTCGCCAAGCTCTCCGAGTCGGTCGTCGAGTTTGCTAAGACTGCGCAGCTTGCCGCTCTCCCGCTCTCCATCTTTGTCGATCTCCTCGCCGACGCCCGCCAGTGTGGCAAGGCTCGGGTTTTTGGCATTTCCGCCTACACTGCCCTCCTCGCCGACGGCGGTGAGTTTGGCTCGGTCTCGCAGGACGTGCTCTCGCACCTCTCGGCAGCACTCAACACGACGGCCATGCCGCAGTCGGGCGCCGCCCATGGCAAGACCTACCCGCACTACCTCAACAGCGTCGAGATCGCCGGTACCGCCATCGCTACCCAGATTGGCACCGCATTCTCTGCCCTCCTCGCCACGCTTGTTGCCATGCTCCGCAACGTCAACACGCCACCGGCGACCAAGCTGCTCATCCTCGACGCGCTCGCGCTCGAGTACAAGCGCGCCGACTACCCCATGCTGGTCAAGGCGCAAGTCTTTCCGGCGCTTGGTGAGGTGATGAAGGCAACCCGCAAGTATCGCGGCTACACTCCGCCGCCTGATGCTGCTCGCGGCGCCTCGTCGCTACCGGCCGTTCTCCGGCGGGTCAACGCCTCGGCCTGGGCTGTCTTCCAGCTCATTTCGCTCCTGGTCTTTGCGCCTAACGACCGCGCTGCTGCCTCGGGTGCCGCCTCGGCACCGGCCGGTGGACTCGGCCTCGGCTCCAAGCAGCTCCGCTCGGCCGCCTTTGACGCCGTCCTTGCTGAGCTCAGCTCGTCGGCTGACGAGATTGAGGCTGCCGCCACGACCGGCAGTCACGACCCCGAGCTCAACTCGTCGGTCTACGACCTGCTCACCCTCCTTTTCACCTGGGCTGACACTGCCTCGCACCAGCTCATTCACCCTCGGCTGCAGCGGCTGCTAGCGCGGATCATGGCTGTCGGCGCGCCGGCGCTCCAGCGGATGACTCTCCGGCTCTTCCGCAAGGTCCTTGCCCGCCACAGCCCCGACGATGTGGTCGAAAACCTCTTTGCTGCCGACGAGCATCTGCTCGACTCGCTCCTTACCACTGCTGGTCAGTCATTTGTCCTTGCTCCGGCTGGTCCGCCAGCCCCGGGTGTGGCCGATGTGGCACCTGCCGGCGACGGCGTCGCTGCCGACTTTGGCTGGCGCTCGGGCTTTGTCCACTTTGTGGTCGGTCTCGAAGCCATGTATGCGCTGCGCACGTTGCTCGCTGCTCGTCCCTGGGCTGCTGCGCTGGTCCCGCGCCTTCTTGCTGCGCTCGATGCTGACTCGGAAACTGCCCCGCTCGCTGCCCTCGCCGTCCTGGGTGGGAGCCTGGACGTTCCGCGGATCGGCGCTCGCATCGCCGTTGCTATTGGGGCCGGCATTCGTGAGTTTGGCACCATTGTTACTTGTGCACCCGAGTCACCGACGCTCACGGCAGTCCTCGACTCTGACGTCGAAGCTGGCAAGCTTAGCAAGTATTCCATCAACGACGTCGAGCTTGTGCCCGAGACTGAGCTGAGCCAGGCGGCCCTCGGCTTTGTGGACGCCAACGTCACGGTCGATGCCATTGCGCGGCTTGCTCTCGCGCCGCCAGCCTCTGACGCCACACCCGCAGCCGCACTTACCCAGGCGCTGGCGCTCAAGGCGCTTGGTCGTCTGCTTTCCGACTCGCGGTTCCTGACCGCGTTTCTGAGTCAGCCGTCGCGCCTCGCGGCGCTCCTCGACGTCATGCGCACCGCCGATGGCGACCCGCGATTCTCGAGCGTCGAGTCCGAGGAGCGGCTCCTCACCAGCGTGCTGCAAGCTGTCCAGTCGGCCGACGCGAGGGTGGTGGGCTCGGCAACGCAGGATCCGTCTTCCGATCCTCCGCCCACCTTCCAGCCGCGCTACGCCTTTGTCCCGCACTCTAAGTTCCCGCAAGGCATCGACATGGGCGCCGCCAACGCCGATCTGGTCCAGATCAGCGCCGACGGCGTGGTCGAATACCTTGGCTCGGGCCGCGGACAGACAGACATTGGTCTGATCAAGGGCGATGCTGTCGTCCCGCACGCCGTCGACATGTACTACTTTGAGGTCAGCATTCTTCACGAGGGCGCTGACGGGCGCGTCTCGATTGGCCTAGTGCCCGACGGCAAGACAGTGCCCGGCACGCTTGGTGCGCTCTACGGCTCGTACGCACTGCAAGGCGAGTCGGGCAAGAAGATGTCGTACAAGTGCAAGGGATACGATGGGACCGGCAAAGAGTACGCCAACGCCGCGTCGTCCGGCGACGTTCTCGGTCTGCTCTACGATGTCCAGAACGGCTGCATTCACTTTACCATTTCCGGCAACGACTTTGGCGTCGCCTTTAAGCAGCTCAAGGGCCGGTTCCGCCCCGCGGTCGGCATTGCCTCGCCTGGCGCTCGGGTCCTTGTCAACTTTGGTCAGCTGCCGTTCCGCTACGCCGCCGACGGTCGTACCATGCCCACCAAGAACTCGCTCGGAACCGCACGGACTCGCGAAGACAAGGCCGCCATTCTGCTGGCCGTCGGCTTTGAGCCGTGGCTTGTCGACGCCGCCCTCAGCCAGTCGGCTCTCTTCGACGAGCCGTCTGACGCGCTCTACTGCTGGTGTGCCGAGCGGTTCGGTCGCTCCCGGGAGGCAGTCGAGGCCGAGGCTGCTGCTGCTGCTGCTGCTGCCACCGCCGCTGCCGCCGCCGCCGACAGCGATGGCGCCGATGGCGATGTCGGTGATGGTGTCGACGCCGACGCCGACGGCAAGGCAACGCCACCAACTGCAGTCAAGACAGCATCAGACGTCGACACCCTCTCCGAGTACTCTGACGAAGACGCCGAGCCGGCCGTCAACGAGGGCGACAACCGGGCGAATAACTACCGTCCGCTGTACGAGGACGCTGACGACGATGAGACCATTTCCACTGGCTATTGGGCGCGCCGGCAGTGGTGAAGGAGGTCAAGCCGCAGCTGCTCATGGCAGACGTTGTGCCTGGTATGTACTTGAGTGTGGATCCTGACTACGAGGTCGATGGCGAGGACGACGACGACAAGGACAGCGACGGAGATGCCGAACTGGTCGCCGCTGATGACGCGATGCTCGGCCAAAGTGGAGGCTCTGAGCCCGGCAAGGGCAAGGACGAGGTCGGCGACACCGACGCCGGCGCTGGCAACGCGCTGGCTCAGCTGCCATTCGAGAGCACCCGCGGACAGACCGGAACGGTTCTGGCAGTTGACTCGGCCAGCCGCGGCGTTCTACTGGCAGTCTACCAGGTCGAGACTGGGAGGATGCTGCTGGGATGGTACCCTGTGCGGTCGCTGGTGTACCCGAGCCCGCTGGTGGACGATCCACTGACGTGGGTGCTGGCTGGCGAGGGGGCGGCGCTTGCTGCCGGCGCCGCGCGGCGGCTGCAAGGCCTCTACGCGCGGTCGGCGGTGGTGGCAGCCATGGTGGCATGGGAGCCGCAAGTGAGTCCGTTGACGATGGATGCTGGCGTCGGCTCGGACGAGAATTTGCTCGCGCTCCTCAGCGCCACCGCGTACGCCGACCTTGCGGCGATGCCTGACCAGTCGAGCAGTGACCCAGGTGCGTACCTGTATGCCGACGCCGAGTCGTCGGACGCGATTGCGCTACGCGAAGCGACCGCAAAGCTTGTGAAGAACTGCGTCGCCGCTATGGACGGACCGTCGGCCCGCAAGCTGTGGGGTTGGTTGGTGGTGCAGGCACACCAGCTCACGGCCGACCGACTTGACCTGGAGATCGGCGCGTGGCTCTACCTGTACCTCTTTGATGCGCTCAAGGTATTTGAGGCCAAGCTGGCCGGCGCGGACAACCTTGCCGAGGGCGACGAAGCTACAGGTAAGGGCAAGGCCGACGTCGAAACGCCCGCTGACGACGCCGACGCCGGGGCCGCAGATGACGCGGCCGAGCTGAGCGAGGAAGATGCGCGAAAGGCTGCGACAACGCTGGCCGAGTTTGCGGCGCTCGATGAGGCGTATACCTTGCCGCCTGTGGAGAAGACGCTGGCCCAGCTCGGGCTCGACAGCGTCGAGCTGGAGGACAAGGCTAGCCGGCGGAGCGCCGAGGCGCTGCGGCTGCTGCGTCTGCTTGTGAGCCGGCGGCGTGCGATGCGGCTGCTGGCGCAGGTGGACCAGATTGCGCTGGCGCGGACGCGTGCGCTGATGTACCGGACGCTGACGCTCATGTTTGAGGCCGACGAGGTGTTTGGTCGTCTCCCGCGGGTATCTGTGCTCCAAAAGGCCATTGCGTCGCTTACGCAAAGCTTCTACAACTCGTCGCAGATGACGCTTGAGCAGCAGGCCAAGTCCGGTATGAGCGCGACGCTCGCGGACCTGCTGCGGCGGGTGCGGGAGAAGAACGACGCAGTCTCACGCGCCGAAGCATGGCTAGCCAATGTCAAGTCGATGAAGGAACGGGCCAAGGCCGGGGCCAAGGTCGAGGTCGACGAGTGCGTGGCGGATCAGCAGGTGCGGGATCTGGCGCGTGTACTTGGCGTCAACGAGCTTGTCTCGTCGCGGTACGCGTCTACGGGGACGTCGCTCCATCTTCTCGGCGAGCTTGTGGACGTTATGTACGAGCGCCGCAAGGTGCCGGTCAAGTTTGCACTGCGAGCGTGGCCTGCGGCGCAGCTGGTGGAACGCAAGGTGGTGAGCTCAAGCCATCCGTACGAAGCCGGCCGGGTGAAGGACATGGTGGTGATTGCGGACGCGTCGACGGTCCAAGTCAAGTTCCATCCCAAGTGCGCGACAATGCAATCGGATGTGCTGCAGTTTTCCGAGACGGCGCATTTTGGCCCGTATGGCTCGACGTACTCGGGCAAGTTTGGGCAGTACGCGAGCTCGGGCGTGGCGTTTTCAGCCAACGGCGACCGGATGTACTACCAGTTCAACGCCGCCGCCGGCTCACAGCTGCATGGGCAGTCGTGCCAGGTCTGCTCGTTGGGCCAGATGCGCGGGACGCGGTACTCTTGCATCTCGTGCCGGAGCTGCGAGCTATGCGAGGAGTGTGAGGCCAACCTCGAGGAGACGCAGGCGCACCCGACCTCGCACATGTTCCTTAAGATCCAGCGGCCGACGACCAACTGGTATGCGCGCGAGTCACTGCCGTGCCCGCCGATTGACACCGAGGCGCCGCGGACCCACACCGGCATTGCGTGCGACGGGTGCGGGGCAAGCCCAATCGAGGGCGACCTGTACAAGTGCGCCCAGTGCGGGGCGTACTACCTGTGCTCGGCTTGCGAGGAGCGGGCGACCGAGCTCGACCACGACGTCGACCACGTGTTTATCAAGATTCGCATGGCGCGGACGTCGCCCGAGACGTACTCGTTCTTCCGGGCGCTGCCCAACATGTACGAGGACGGCATGACGTGGGGCTACGAGTTTGTGGTCAGCGGCATCCTCAAGCAGCGGGCGCTGCTCAACTCACTGGGCACGGCCATGCCCGACATCTTGGCGTGGCTGGAGACGGATGCGCAAGAGTGGAAGCCCGCTCTGGATCACGAGCTTGTACGGTATGCCGTAGCTGTGGCGGAGAAGGCCGATACCAATGTGAGTATGCTTCCGCTCGACGCGCTAGAGCCTGATGAGGAGGCGCTCCAGAGCTGCCCGGGCCTCCGCGGGGTGACGCTCGACGTGCTCCGCAACCGCTTCTCGCTCCTCCTCATGTTCAACGAGCTGGTCAAGGGCGCTCTCGCATCGGTCGACCTCTCGCTGGTGAACGCTGAGTGGTCGACTGCACATCGGTTGTGCCAGCTCAAGGGCCTCATCTTCCCGGAGCACAAGGAGCAAATTTTCAACGACATGGTCAGCTCGCGCGGGTCGCGGTCGCGGCAGGCTTCAGTGACGGTCGACCGGACGGCGGCAGCGGTGACGTCGGACGACCAAGTTGTTCCGCTCGAGTCAACAATGTTCATGCAGATCTACACCGGGCTGGCATCGGCGACCAACGACATGCTGCGGCAGAGCCAGCAGGCGTGGCAAGTTCAGTTCCAGGGAGAGGGTTCGATCGACGCTGGCGGGCCGTACCGCGAGTCGATCACCCAGATGTGCGCCGAGCTGACGGCCGGCGAGCCGGTCGGCCTTTTCCTCCCGTGCGCCAACGCCAAGTTTGCGGTCGGCCAGAACCGCGAGAAGATTGTGCCCAACCCCGGGGCGGCAACGCCGGCCAAGCTGGAACAGTTTGAGTTTGTGGGCAAGCTGATGGGCATTGCCCTGCGGACGAAGAATCCACTCGCGCTCGACCTGCCGTCGCTGGTGTGGAAGCGGCTGGTGTTTACAGTCCCGTCGCGGTCGGACATCGACCTCATCGACCAAATGTGCTGCCAGGTTCTCGACTCGGTCATCAACATTGAGGCCGAGGGCGTGACCGCTGACACTTTTGGAGACGTCATCACCGAGATGTTCACCACAGTCTCGGCTGACGGACGGACGGTTGAGCTCGTCGAGGGCGGAGCCGACGTCCCAGTGACGTGGGACAACCGCGCCGAGTGGGCCGACGCCGTCCTCAACTACCGACTGCACGAGTTTGACCGCCAGATTGCTGCCATAGGCCGCGGCCTTGCCGCCCTTGTCCCGGCCCACCTCTTCTCGCTCTTTACCTGGCAGGAGCTCGAGCTGATGGTGTGCGGGCGGGCAGAGATCGACATCAAGTTCCTCAAGCAGAACACCGTCTACCAGGGCTGCGCTGCCACTGACGCCCACATCGTCATGTTCTGGGAAGTGCTCGAGTCGTTCTCGCAGGAGGAGCGCAGGCTCTTCATCCGCTTTGTTTGGGGCCGCTCGCGGCTCCCGACTTCGTCGGCCAACTGGAAGCAGAAGTTCACCATCACCGCCTTTGCCGGTGGCCACGCCGGCGACGACCACCTCCCCAACTCGCACGTTTGCTTCAACTCGATTGAGCTCCCGCGGTACTCGACCAAGGACATCATGGCCGCCAAGATCCGGTACGCCATGTCTACCTGCATGTCCATCGACCTTGACTTTGTCGTCCGCTAAACCGCGCCAAAATCCGATACGCCATGTCCACCTGCATGTCCATCGTGTGGTCTGGTAAACCCCCCCCCCCCCCCCCTTCCCCCCCTCTCCCTCGATCCCGGTCGCCCGGTCGCCATCAATCCATCACCTTCGCCATCCTGGTACCTGGAACACTCGTGCCATAGCCACGGTCACACACACACACTCCACGTACGCACCCCCTCCCAACCTACACCAGCCACCCACGCATACACATCCACACAAGCACAGACATACAATGGGAAGGCGCAAGAAGACCGGACTCGGTCGGGCGCTGCAGAGGAAGCAGCGCGAGGTGCGGTCGCAGACACACGCGGCGTCGTCGGCTCGGCACTCGCACGCTCTGGACCCACGGGCGGCAGAGCCCATGTACGGAGTGGGCTCTGTGACAGAGACCAACGACTTGACGGCGTTTCTGGAGGCGGCCGAGCTGGCTGAGCGTGATTTCACCGCCGAGCGCGGAGTGGCCCTGGTGGTGGCCTCCGAGTCGGCGGCGACGCACTCGCTCCTCCCGTCGGATCTGGCTGAGCAGGAGAAGGTGAAGGCGCTACTGCAGGTCCCGCGCCGGCCGGGGTGGACGGCCGAGACGACCAAGGCCGAGCTGCAAAAGGCCGAGCGGACGTCGTTCCTCGAGTGGCGGGCACAGCTTGCGCAGATCGAGCAGAACAAGGCTGTTCACGTGACGCCGTTTGAGAAGAACATCAACATGTGGCGCCAGCTGTGGCGGGTGGTGGAGAAGAGCCACGTGGTGGTCCAGATCCTCGATGCTCGCAACCCGGACCTCTTCCGATGCACCTCGCTTGAGGACTACGTCAAGGACATCGACCCGACCAAGCGCAACATTCTGCTGGTGAACAAGGCCGATCTCGTTCCGCGCGAAATTCGTCTCCAATGGGCCGCAGCTTGGGAGGAGGCCGGCATCGAGGCTGTGTTCTTCTCGGCTGTTGCCGAGCAGGCCAAGCTCGACGCCGCCGCCAAGATTGCTAACTCGCTTGTCGCTGACGAGTTTGACTCGGACGGCGACGACGACGTCGCCGCCGCTGCCAAGGCCGCCGAGCGCGAGGCTGACCTCGCCGCCGCCGAGCCGTCGGTGCTGGAGAACCTCGAGGGTCCGTGGGAGGCTGGCCACCTGCTCACTCGCAACGAGCTCATTGCCCACCTCACCCGCACCGCGCGCTCCGTCCAGGCCCTCATGGCCGAGGACGGCAACGTCGCGCCCGATGGCCAGCTCCAGCAGGCCATTGTCGGCCTTGTCGGCTACCCTAACGTTGGCAAGTCGTCGACCATCAACGCGCTCTACGGCGCCAAGAAGACCTCGGTGGCGGCCACGCCCGGAAAGACTAAGCACTTCCAGACCCTCATCCTCTCGGACGACATCATGCTCTGCGATTGCCCAGGTCTCGTCTTCCCGTCGTTTGTCTCCTCGCAGGCCGAAATGGTCTGCTCCGGTGTCCTGCCCATTGACAACCTGCGCTCGTACTACGGCCCGGTCTCGCTCGTCTGCCAGCGCATCCCGCGGGCTGTCCTAGAGGACGTCTACGGTGTCGCCCTCCCGCCGCCCGGCGAGGGCGAGGACCCCCACCGCGCCCCGTTTGTCACCGAGCTCCTCCAGGCCTACGCCTACAACCGTGGGTACATGACCCAGCGCGGGCCTGACGAGTCGCGCGCCTCGCGCGTCATCCTCAAGGACTACGTCTCGGGCAAGCTGCTCTACTGCTTCCGGCCCAACGAGGTCGCGCTCCACGAGGCTGCCGCAGCTGCTGCCGCCGAGCGCAACGCCGCCATCTCGGGAAACCTCCTTCCCCATATTATGACAGCAGCCGAGGGCTCGACCCCGGTTGCCGATGGCCTCCGTGACGACATCGACGCCGGCTTCCTCGCATCCGTCCCGGCAACGGCGACCGGCGCCCGAATCGTCACCCCAGGCACCTCAAACGCCGAAAAGGCTGCACCCAACTCGGAGCAGGCCAAGAAGCGCCGCGTCTTTGCAGACTCCAAGATGGCCAAGGACCGCGCCAAGATCGATGCTGCGTTCTTCTCGCAGACCAAGGTCCAGGCCTACTCGCTCTCGTCAGCAGGCGCAACCTCGTCGTCGACTGCGGGTATGGTCTTTGCCTCGAAGAAGGAGCGCCGCCAGGCCCGCGCCCGCGAGAAGGCCCATGCCCGCGCCCGCAAGGCCGAGGAGGAGAAACGCGAGAAGCAGCTCCGCCTCTTGCGTAAGCTCCGCGATGAGGCCGCTGCTCAGCCGACAGAGTGAACACCCGCCCCCTTTCTTGGTTGGGCAAGCGCGAGCCTCCAGTTGTCACCGTCGACGGCGATGGCGGGTCCGGACACATCACGTTTCCGTACTTGGCGACGGCAATGCCGGTCGTACCCGAGCACACGTACCGCCTCGCCTTTGTTCCCTCCTTCTCTTGGAATACACGCCGAGTTGGCCGTGTCCGTCGTGGTGAGCGCCACGTCCTCATCGCTGCATCTGGCCGCCGCGGACAAGATCTCAGCGTTTAAGATGGCGTCACCGAGCATCCGTAAGCAAAGTACTAGCGTTGTCTGTGGCGTCCCAGAGCAATCATCCGTAGCGAATATATCGAACTTGTTGTTGCCGCACTCCGACTAGGTCGTCTCGCTAGTGCCGGTGCGCCCACACACGTCGCCACCTTGACGGTCACCACCGCGTCGAGATCGCTTGGGCCACATCTTGCTGCGGCGTACTTTGCAATGAACAGGGTGACAAGCATACATAGCCATGGCCAGGGTGGCGGTGACGAAGATACTTGCATGCTTGAAACTGAGTATGCCATCGATTGTGGCGGGTGCGCGCCGATGAGTGTGGCGACGGGCGAGGGCCAGCTCACCACAGCCGCCGGACGACCACGGCCACCGCCACTGTGGCTGCCACCACTTTACTCCGGTCCTCGACATGGCCGGACTCGACACACCCGTGCGGTTGGTGCGCCCTGGAACTGCGGCGGCGACGGCAGTGGCACTCATCCGGGCAGGAACCGGCGAGGGCCTCGAGGATGTCCCGGTGTCCGAGTTGGGCAATTTGCTGGGCTTTGAGTATTCGCGGACGGTGCGGCAGACTGGAGACGGCTCGGTGGTGGCCGAGTCCGATGCCGAGACTACGGCTGCCGAGATCGCTCTCCTTCGGTCGGTGGTGGTGGCTGATCTGGACGACGGCGTCGGGGCGCGGGTGTGGCTGGCCGGCGATGCCGAGGCCATTGCTCCGGGCACCGTCCTCGCCAGCTACACTGGCGACTACGCAACGCGCGAGGCCGATTCCGACTACACGCTGGCCTGGAGCGATGACGAGGATGAGGGTGATGGCGACGGCGACGGCATGGTCTCGCTCGACTCCGCCAAGCGCGGCAACATCACCCGGCTCTTCTCCTCGCTCCCGGAGCCGCACACCCTTGCCGGCTGCGCTGCCGGCGACGGCTATTCACTGGCGTCGCTGGCGGTGGCCAACGCCCGCCCGAAGATCCTTGCTCGCGGCGCGGTTGCATTTATCGCCTCGCGGACCATCGCTCCGGGCGACGAGATCGGTTGGGACTATGGGCCGGGCTTCTGGGCAGCCCGCCCGCAGCTGAGCTACGCGCTCCTCGATGCCAGTACATACGCGCCGGTCAGCGCCGCCTGCGCCTCGCCCGATCCGCTCCGCACTGCTGCCGTCCAAGGCCTGACCTCAGTCGTCATGATGGCGGCGATGACTGCGCCCGGCGACGACCCGTCTACCGCGGCGGCCGCCACTCTCGCGTCGCTCTTTGCCGACCCGGCCCGCTCGCTCCACGCCGTCGGTGCCGATCTCAAGGCGCTGCTCACTGACGACTCCGAGCGCGAGCTCGTCGACGCCATTCTCGCCGAGTACCAGCCGTCGTCTGCGCCCTGACCTCCCGACGCGCTCAAGGCGCCAACGGCGCCAGCCGCCGCGGAATCCGCCCACCGTCAAACAACCGCCGCCGCTGCTCACTTGACCGCGCCTCACCTTTTTCCGCGACGACGACGGCTCTTGCCGGCACGGACGCAGCCAGCGCCTGCGCCAGCATCGCCTCGGCGCCCGGCAGCAGCGCCAGCCCGATCAGCAGTCCATTCTCGACGGTAGCCCGCGCATCGCGCCCTGTAAACGCAAGCCGATGCGTCTTGTCCGCAACCGTGTCTACAGCACCGCCTGCTTTGTCGACTGCGTCGCTCGCCTCCGGCATGGCCGTCGCCATCGCAGCCAGAGCCGGCGCAGCCAATGCACTTGCTGCAATGGCCACATCGGCGCCTTCTGCTGCCGAACCGGCCGCATCAACGGAAGCTGCCAGCATAGCGGACTTTGCGGCACCGACTGCAGCAGAGATGGCGCTTGCTGCCGTGAGAGTGGCCTCTGTCTCGGCGGCGGGCGGCTTGCCATGGTTGTCCTCCTCTGATGCGCCGCCAAGGCCATGGCCTGCCTTCCAGCGGGCGTATCCATAGCCTGCGGCACCGACAGCCGCGATTGACCTCAGCAGATACTTGGGCATGCTCTTCTCCGTTGCCTGTGGGTGCAGTGTTATCCAGCCTATGCCTCTGCCTCTGCCCGGCCTCTAGGTCCTGCACCCGACCTCGCTCCACTGGTGTGTGCGCCTGCTTTTGGCGCCAACCACCCACCCACCCACTCACCCCCCAACGATTAATTGACGTTACCCCCAATCATACCCCAGGCCGCACCCCACCCACCCACCCACTCACCCCCCCAACGATCCTCCCTCCTCCTCCACCTCACCTCACCCACACCCACACCCTCACATGCTTCGTGCGGTCACAAGTGCCCTCCGTGCGGTCACCCCCGCACGCGCCATCCCGTACGCCCCCCCTCCCTCCCCTTCCCCTCCCCTCCCCCCCCCTGCCTTCACACAATTAATCCCGCCATGGCCTCCACGCGTCACACTCACTCTCCCCCACACCCACGGACATGGGAGTGCACAGGGCATGGAGTGCGGGAGTGCGGGGTATGGCTGGAGAGGTTGCCCAGGACACTGAGTCCGGCTCCTCCCGCTCGTCCGATGTAGTCTCGCCGCCGTCGGCAGGCTCGCCCAAGCGCATGGCCAAGCCAACCACGGCCCGCAGGCGGAGTCGGTACAAGGGCCGCATGCACGCTCGCCAGCGCCAGCGGGTTCACGGCCACCGCGAGCGCAAGGTCAACACCTCGCGGAACGCCGTGGCAAAGGCCTCCAAGCGCGATCTGCAGCATGAGCTCGATGCCGCCTTCCATCGCTTCCTCTCTGCCAACCAGATGATGGAGTACGCGCCCGGCGGCGCTTCGGCCACCGTCAAGGCCAACCTCGCCAAGCGCAAGGCAAAGTCTGCCGCTGTTGTCCGCCCCGAAGCTGCCCGTTTCCGCCTCTCGCTCGCCGAGGAGAAGCTCTTCTTTGCCGGCAACGACGACGGCTTCAAGTAGTTGCCAAGCTGATTCACTAAAGGACTTTACCACGCCTCCCGCCTCTCACAGGTAGTCGACAAGCAGCTCGCCGAGCGACTTGCGCCGCGACGCCCGGTCGGCTTTGGTCAGCCGGCGGACAATGTCGTCAAACGACGGCCGTCGCGCCGCCTCGCGGTGCCAGCACTCACGGATGAGCTTGGCGAGAAAGCCGGGCGCGTCCTTGGGCAGCGCCGGCCGCCCGCCTCCCGCCACCACGTCGGGGATCGACGACGTCGGCTGGACTTCGGCAAACGGCTTTTGCGAGGTGAGGATCTCCCACAGCACAATGCCGTACGAGTACACGTCGGCCTTTTCGTCATACTCTTGGTTGAGTAGGACTTCCGGCGCGATCCAGCGGACCTTGCCGGTCACGCCGGCGCAGATCGACTCATTCGACTCCTTGACAAAGGCAAGGCCAAAGTCGGCGATCTTGGCGGTAAAGTTGGCGCCCGAGATCGGGTACGCGATGAGGATGTTGTGCGACGAGAGGTCGCGGTGAATGATCTTGGGCTGCGAGCCGTGGAGGTAGCTCATTCCGCGCGCCACGTCGAGCGCAATCCGCAGCAGCCACGTGAGGTACACCCGCTGGTGCTCCACGTGCAGGAGCGAGTACAGCGAGCCGCCGCCGATAAACTCGGTCACGATGCAGAGGAATGGCGGCTGGAGGCACGCGCCGATGAGCGAGACCACGTTCGGGTGGTGGAGCTTCGAAAGAATCGCTACCTCGCGCCGGAGGCCTGCAATCACCGCACGCGTCGGCAGCGTGTCGTACTTGAGCACCTTGGCTGCCACCGTCACCCCGTTCCAGTCGCCCTTGAACACAGCCCCAAACGCGCCCTCGCCCAGCTTGACCCCGAGCTCGATGTCGTTCGGGTCGATCTCGTACTCGGAGAGCGGGCCCGTCATGTCCGACACCGCCTGGTTCTGCGGTGACGGGTCTACGGCCGACGGGCTGCTCTGGTACGACCCGCCCGAGAACGAGTCGCGCGACGGCCCGCCGCCGAGTGGCACAGACGACGCCACGTCGCGGTCGCGCGGCAGGATCCGAAGGAACGACGAGATCGACGGCGCAGACGCCGCAGCAGCCGCAGCCGCAGACGCCGCCATCGCTGCGCTCCGCCCGCGTGGAATCATCAAAAATGGTGTCGACGGGGACGTCGACGGCGTCACACCAAGCCCCGGCTGCGAGACTGCACACACACTCCGCCCGCCCGCCACTGGCAGCAGCGACGGCGGCGATGCCGACATCGAGCCCGATGATGATCCAGTGTGCCCGCCCGAGTGCTCGTCGTCGAGCACGTGGATCGCTCCAGTCACCGCCTTGGAGTACGCGCAAGTCCCAAACGACATCCGCTGGAACGGCACGCTTAGCCCGTCGTCGTCGGCATCGCCTTCATCGTCGCCGTCTTCGACATCGTCGCCGTCGTCGTCGGCGACCTCGGATGTCGACCACGACCCGACGTCGCTGCCACGCTCGCTCGCCTCGCTCGCCGCCCGCGACCGCTGCTGCGCCACGTACACCTCGGCGTACTCGGCATCATACAACGCCTGCGGCGCAAAACAGGGCTCGCGCGGCGACGTCGGCGTCGACGCCCGCGACGACGGCGTCACAGGCGCCTCTGCGCCAAGAACAGCCGACGCCGATGCCGGGCCGTACAGGCCCGCTGGAGCCTCGTACGCCGACGCCGGCCGCACGTCCGCTGCCCCTGCAGCATCAACGTATCCGTGCGCGTCGAGATCGAGTGACGACGCCCCGGCCAGCGCCGTAAACGCAACCTTGGGCGGATCCGCATAGCTCCGCCCGTAATGGTACTGCCGCAGCATGTCGTAGCTCGACGGATTGCGCAAGTACTCGAGCGTCGACGAGACGCCCATGACCCATACCTCCCGCAGCGTCGCCTTCAGCGGGTTGCTGTACAAGTCCAGCCGAGACAGTGCCCGGCAGTGGCCCAGTGACGACGGCAGGCTCCGCACCTGGTTGTTGTTGAGGTAGAGGTACTTGAGGAACGAGAGCGAGCCGATCGAGAGCGGGACCGTGCTCAGCGAGTTGTTCGAGACGTACAGCTCCTGCAGCGACCGCAAAGAGCCGATGTCTTCTGGCAGCTCCCGCAGCGCGTTGTTGTCGAGCGAAAGCTGGACCAGTCGCTCCAGCGCAGAAATCTCGCACGGCAGCGTCCGCAGCACGTTGTTCCGCAGCGTCAGCACCTTGAGCCCGGTCAGCGCCCCGATCGATCGCGGCAGCTCGCGGAGCTTGTTGTCCGACACGTGCAGCGTGTGCAGGCCAGTGAGTCGCCCTAGCTCCTCCGGAAGCCGCGTCAGCACATTCGAGTTGAGGTTCATCTCCTGCAGTGCGCCCAGCGCGCAGAGTTCTGCCGGAAAGTGCGCCAACCGGTTGCCCGACGCGTTGAGCTCCACTAGCACCGAGCACGCGCCAAGCCCGAGCGGAAGCGTCGTCAGCGCGTTGTTCGCCAGGTTGACAACCTCCACGCTCGCCCATGCCGACACCTCCTCCGGCAGCTTCTGTAGCTTGTTGTTCGCGAGCGAGATAAACCGGAGACCGCGCCAGCCACCCACTCCTGCAGGCAGGGCGTTGAGCTTGTTGCCCTCGAGGTTGAGGCACTCGAGCGAGCACCACGACGCCACAGCCTCGGGCAAGCTCGTTAGCCCGGCGTACTGCAGCGAGAGCTGCCGCACACCGTCGAGCGCGCCCACAAACTCGGGCAAGCTCGTCAGCTTGGTAGCATGCAGCTTGAGCACCTCGAGCTTGGGCAGCGAGCAGATCGAGCCGTGCACTTCGTTCTCTGTGCTACCGCATGCGGCCTCTTGGAACGACAGCCGCCGCGCCACAGGCTCGTTGAGCCCGTCAAAGCCGAGAATCGCGTTGGACGAGAGGTCAATGACCCGGAGCTCGCGGCACAACGCGAGCACCTCCGGCACGCCCGTCAGCTGGTTGTGCGAGACGTCGATCCGGGTCAGCTCGCCCAAAACAGCCATCTCGCCCGGCAGCACCTTGAGCAAGTTGTCGGTGAGAATGAGAACGCGAAGCTGATCTAGGAGCCCGATGGCTGGCGGCAGGACCGCAAGGTCGTTGCGCGCCAGGTCCAGATGTGTCAGCGACGCTAGCCTCCCACTCGCAGCTGCTTGCCAGATCGGCTGCAGCTTGAACTTGCGCGAGAGCCGGACTTGCGCCACCAGCGCGGAGATCTCGCCGGGCGTCAGCGGCTGGTCCTTGAACGGCGACGATGCCTGCTGTCGCCCCGACGGCGACCGTGGTGGGCTCCACCCGGCCGCGCCCGGCGGGCTTCTCATCCGCGGCGAGACACTCAGCGACGGCGTGTACGGCCCGACCGGCGTCGTCGGCGACGTCGGCGCAACAGACCACGCGGTCGGCGTGAAAATAGAGTCTGGCGACGACGCAAGGAGCCGCGGCGACATCAGAGGCGACCGCGCCACAGAGTTTGCTGCAGCGGCTGCCGCAGCCTCAGCGGCTGCAGCCTCGGCGGCCACTGAGAGCATGTCCAACGCCAGTCGCGAACGGGCTCGCGCTGCCATGCTCACATAATCCGAGTCCGACCGACGCCGAGCATGCTCTCCAGACCCGCCAGACCCGCCAGACGACGCGTGTCGCGCCTTGGGACGCCGCACCCCGCGTCCACCCGCACGCCCGGACGAAATCGGCCTCGGCTGCGTCACAGATGTAGGCGGCGCCGGCGACGTCGGCTCAGACGCCGGCAGCCCCAAGCTTGGCTTTGCCGCTCCAAGCCTTGCCCGCCGCGTCACCGCCACCGGCGCCGGCGAGTCGGTCGGCGTCGGGTTCGACGTCACGTTGGGCGTAGGCGGCGCCAAGAGCTCATGCTTGCGCCCCGCCCGCTCTCTGCGAGCCCCAAGGTCAATGTGCTTCAGCAGCGAGAGCAACTCGGCCACCACCGGCCGCGACGACGACAGTCGGTGGTCATTAACCACCAGCGAGCCCGTGGCTATGGCCTTGGCCACCAGCTCCGCCAGTTCCTGCTCGCCCACCGGCCCCACGACCCACACACATACACACCACACACAGCCGCACACAACCATGCCCATGGTGAGTCCCTTGCCCTCTGCTACCTCTCACAGCTGGCCTCGCCCACACCCACAAAGAACACCACCACGCCACGGTCGTGCAAATTTGCCCGCTCCCGCTCCGCCCTGCCTCACTGGCAAGCAAGCCCATTGAGACACCATGCATTATTCGGGAGGGCGGGGGGGGGGGGGGGGCAGCTCTCAATTAACTCTCGTTCACCATAATGGTTTGGTCGTAACGGGGGAGGGGGGGGGGGGCGACGCGTCCAGCTGTGACCATATATATGCATTGCCCAACATAAAGTGAAACGAGCCCCAACCTATGGGGGGGACCAAGAAACCCCGGGGGATTGACGTGCCAGAACGCGGGGGCCCCCCCCCCCCCAGTGGTCCCCGGGGGGGGGGGGGGGGGGGGGGGATTGCTGTGATGGTCTGACAACGATATATAGGACTAACTTACGCATGTATGGTCTTGGGAGAGGTCAAGCGGCCCCGTGACCGAGCCGGCGTCCCCCATGCCAACGGCTGGAAGAGACGTGTTGCCTCGCCTGTCCGCCTGTTGGCTTGTCTTGCTTTCCTCCGTCCAAAGAGCGACTTGGGACTCACGTGCCGAAAGGGCCGAGACAGGTTTTTTCAGCAATTTTTGTCTCGAATAGCAGCACCCTCCTCTCTGGCCGCTCCATCTGTTGGCTTCCCCACGCCTACAACGACGCACGAGTGTGTATCAACGTGTTTGCCAGAAGGCTTCAAAATATACTCAAGCGCTCGCTGCTTAGTAGTTTAGTAGCGGCCGCCGGCAGGGAGCGGCCTCGCCGACGACACTTTGCCGGCCGCTTCACTCGCCCGACGCCGGAGCACGGAGCTGGAGCGTGTCGGCGGTGACGACGGCGGCACGCGGGGTGTTGGGCATGGATGGCGTCTGCGCCCCAGATCGGAGTCGCGGCGTGCCCGAGCGCGAGCCGCCGGCTGAAGGCGGCAGCACGACCGAGGTCGGCGCCGCGCGGCGCCGCTGCCGACTTGCGCTGCCGGCCGATGACGAGCCACGCGCCTGGATCGACGACGACGCCGCCTCAAACGCCGACAGCGCTCGGGTATTGCTCGCTTGGTTGCGGGCCACGGCAAGGTCGTCTAGTGCGTCGTGAGTGGCGAGCGGCAAGTCGTCGTCGATCATCGACAGCGTCGGATCCGACAGCGAGCACCCGGCCGTCCGCTTGGCCGACTGGTACCGGCTGTGTGCGTCCTCGACGCCCGACGGGTCGAACACGTTCATCAGCGTGTCGGCCGTCTGTAGCGGACGAGGTGGTGCGGCACCCGGTGCCACAGCCACCGCCCTCGCAACCTCCTCGACCTCGCCGAGCGCGAGAACTGCGTGGAACGAAAACGCGTCGCGGGTGAGCCAGAGCGAGCGGAAGACGTGAAACGGGTCGTCGAGCCCTAGCGCAGACGCGCTCACAGCAAGCTTACGAATGGCTGCAAAGATCGGGAGCGTGACCTTGATCCGACACGCGTCGAGCTCGTTCTGCGTCGCGTACAGCAGATACATCAGATACAGCATGGTGATGCGTGTGTGGAGCGGATGGTGCGGGAGGACAAAGTACGGAAGAATGTACGAGAACAAGCCGTCGATAAAGTCCTCATTTGGCAGTGCATTCGGTCGCCCGTGATGGATGTACGACATCTGCAGCGTCCGCCATGTCTCCTTGAACAGCCCGAACCGGAGACTCAGGATCCGCGACCGCGCATCGTCCGTCTCCTCGCCCTTGCCCTCGCCAGACTGACTTCCCAATCCACCAAGCCTGGCATCCATGCCCCCGCCCACCACGTCCATGCCCATGTCCAGGCCCGTCGGGCTCGCCTCGGTCCCCGCCTCGGTCCCGGCCTCGGTCCTGGCCTCGGTCCCGGCCTCGACTCGGGCCTTCACCGCCGCCAGATACGTGGCCACACACCGGCGCAGATCACCGATGTGCGGCTCTAGCTGCTTGGTATCAAACCGATACAACACCATCCTCCGTGCCCGGTTCTTGGTAATGGCCGCTCGCCGCTTCTTGGCCTGTTGGACCTGCATCCGCCGCTGCGCCGCCGCCTGAACAGCCGCCTCGGACAGCCGCGGTACGCCTCCACGTCCTCGCGACATTGCTCCTCCCTCACGTATACCCGCTACCCTTTGGCTCTGGCTCTGGCTCTGGCTGTGGCTGTGGCTGTGGCTGTGGCTAACAGCTCTTTCTCCTTGCGCAGAGCGACAAGTGCCGCTGCTATCGCTGCTGGGGCTGGGGCTGGTGCCCTCTGCCGCTGCCGCTGCCGCCGGCGAGCAGACGAGTCGCCCAATTTCGGGCTGCGCAGCACGGAGCGCAGTGAGGTTCGCGCGCGTGGGCAACCACCACGGTCTGTTTCATTGAGCGCTACTCGCCTGCAGTATGCTTGTCATCGTCGACGATTCTGTCGGGCGGGTGCGGCTTTCGGTTGATCACAGGCACAGCAATGCCTCATCCAATCGCGGGTGGGGTGGGCTAGACATGGACTTCGACAGGCTCAAACTTGGTCGAGCGCGGCCTGATCATCATGTCAACAAGATCGTCAACAGCGACAAACTCCGACGGGTTGGCACGGGCTTTGGCGGCCGCCGACGGCGGGGAGGTCGGACTCGTGGCGGGCAACGCTTCCGGGAGGAGGACCGAGGCTGGGACCAAAGTCGAACCCGAGCCTGCTGCGGCGAGCCGCGCCGACGCGACCTCGTTCTCGATGGTCGTCGGCTGATAAGGAAAGTCGACAAGGATACGCCGGCGCTCGCCCGAGTAAGTGAGCGTCGGTGGGCGCGGGCGGACGTCGTGTCGGAACCGCAGCTTGGTGAGTCCGTCGTCGAGATGGGCCTTGTAGCCGGCGTTGGCATACAGCGCGTTGTCGTCCATGATGTCGACAAGCTCAGCCGGCGCCTCGGCGTGGACGGTGCCAGAGTCTGCTGCGTCGGCCTGAGCCACCGATGCCGCGGCCTTGACGGCGGCCACGGTGGCGGCGGCGGTCGAAGGCCGGATGCCGCGGGCGGCTGCTGCTGCTGTTGTCGCCTCCACACGGTCGAGAATCCGCTGCCGGCGATCGGGAATGGCCGACGCTGTCGCCGGCCGCGCCGACACTGTCTCTCGCCATCTACGCCGGGCCCCATCCGACTGCCGCATCACCCGATCGACGGCAGAGTCGAGCTCGGTCGTCGAGCAGTGGGTATTGGGCTTACCCTCGTCAGAAGGGTGGCCTGCGTCGTCGCCATACCGGCGAGTATACATGGTCATCAAATCGTCGGGCGTCACGTCCGGTCCGAGGTGGCGCTTGAGGACAGCGTCGGGCACCTTGCCTGACACCATGGCGTCAAGGATGCAGTACGCGTCTGGCGTCATGTTGTACTCGCCCATCGACCGCTTGAGGCGCTCGAGAATAACGCCCTCGACCCCGTAACGGTCGCCGCGGACCGAGAACTTGCGGCTCGCCAGCGACGCTGCGTGCAAATCGGGCGCAAGCCGCGCCCGTGCCACAGAACCCGAGTATCCAAAGGCGTGCACCTTGGGCAGCTTGGGCGTGACAAACTGCGAGCGGACGCCACGCGCGAGCTCGTACGCTTGAATGTGCATCTCGGCCGCCGACTGGGTGACGTCGGCATTGAACCGGGCTGATTGCTCGCGGACATGTGCCGTCCGCCGGCCCGAGGCAAACAGCTCGTGTGTCCCGTCCGCAAACTGCGCCTCCCACGCCGACCGGATCGCCCTCTTGTTCGATCCGCCGCCGCATGAGCCCATCATCCTCGCTCCCGCCGTGACTGGTCGCTTTCGCCGCCGCCGGGCCTGGCCCTGCTGCTGCCCCGCCGCCACCTGCGACGGCCCGGACTTCCGTGAGGAGCTCTTCCGCTTCTGCCGCGGCGCCATCGGACGGGAAGCCGGCGCGCCCGACGACCTCGCTATAGTGTTCGACCTCGCCGATGCTGCCCGCTTGCCCAACTTTGTCCCCGCCTGCCCGTACTGTTTTGGACACCACCGCTGCGCTTCTGTCTCCGACCTGCTGCCGATGTGCCACTTGCGCCCGTTGCGCCGCTTGCGCCGCTTGCTCGTTCTGCCGACGACCGTTGACCCGACCTGGCTGCGGACGCCAAAGCCGCTGGCGAGTTGTCTTTGCCACGGCTAGGTGGAGCAGTACATGGCCGCTGTGCATATGGTCGTTGACTTCCGTAGGTCTTTCCGCGCGTCTCGATACGCGACATCCCCGCCCCTGTAGCGAGCGTCGAGTGTGGTGGCTGGTCGGCAGCGGGTGGCGAGCGGCAATGGTCATCATCACACGCCAAATTGACATCTCAAGTACGGTGCGGCGCGTTGCTTGCGAGCGCGAGAGGTAAGATCGGCGACATTTGATCACACCAGAAGCCACCCTTGTATGATGGCTATGTGGCTCACGTTGGCTGTGAGGGGTTTTTTGTTGTGTGTGTGTGTGTGTGTGTGTGTGTGTGTGTGTGTGTGTGTGTGTGTGTGTGTGCGTGTGAAGGGGTCGGGGACAATGGTCCGGTAGACTGCGCAACCTACTGCTACAGGCAAATGCAATTGTGGCTGCGATGTGCCAGCATGGGACGCATGCTGATCAAAGCAAGAACAGGAGTGTTGGCGCATGGGGTGGGCACATCATCGGGTCGGGCGATGCAGCTGGTACCAGGCTGGATCAAGAGCTCGACGGCTCGAGCGAGTGAACCACAGTGGCCATGCGGAGGCCAAGAAAAAACACCAGGACAAGCACAACCACAAAGGGGAGCCATTGGTAGCACGAGGCCGGTGGCGGCTTGCGTGATCTCAGCTGCGATGAGCGAATGTGCGCGGTAACCGGGTGGCTCGCGGCAATCTCATCAGCCACGGCACGGAGATCTGCAAGGAGCATGGCCTTGGACGTCCGCGGTTCGGCGTAGGCGTCTGCAACGTCGAGCAGCCGGACGCGAACAGCAGCCAGCGAAGCGATGGCGCCAGATGAGGCGTCGTCGCTGCTCCCTCCACTCTCACTTGCGGCAACCTCTGCCGCACGATCTGCAGCCTCCTGCACAGCCTTCTCGGCTGCAACATGGGCCCGCTCGAGCTCAGCCTCACGTGCAAGGACAACCTTGCGCAGGGCATGGATCTGCTTGTTAGCGACCTCGACCGAGGTGGCGAGGTGATGAGCACGATCATCCAAGTCGGCATAGGCTCGATTGGCTGCGTCGAGCTTGGCCTGCAGCTCCATCGCCTGGGCTTCAAACGCGTGGGCCATCTTGGTCGCCTCAAAGGTAGCGTGCTGCGCCCCCGTCCGCAGCTCGCCGATGACCGCCAGAAGGAACTCGCGCTCGGCCTCGCGGTCTGCCAGCTGGCTGCACTGCGCAACGAGCACAGACATGGGCTCCTCCACCAGTCCCTCTCCGCCCGACATCTTGCTGTCGTCCATGTCTCGAGGGCCGGGTGTCGTCGCCGTGGGGGATGAGTGCGGTGGAGGTAGCGCTGTCTGCGGCGAGTTGCGGCGAGTCGGGGGGGGAGGCCGCAGCCGACGAGATGGGCGCGCGGCCTGATGCGGTTGCAGAGGGCAAGGTGGATAGAGCGCTCGAAAAGGGAATGACTGGGGGAGGGGAGGGGAGGAGAGGGGGGGAGGGGGGGGCATCTTTGACTGCTGCTCGTCTACAGAGGTGGGGGTCATGCCGAGGCGAGGGCGGCGGTGAAGGCCGACATGATGGCCGGGCGGTCAAAGGCAAAGTTGAGGAAGGGGTTCGGCCGCTGGTTGGCAGGTGCAGCCGGGGAGGAGACCGCCAATGCGGAGGTGGACGGCGACGGTGTTGCAGGGCTCGCAGACTTGGTCGAGCGGGCGGAGGACGGGAGAAGGAGCGAGCCAGAGGCGGCGCGGGCTTTGATGATCTTGCGAATACGCTTCTTGTTGGAGCGGATCCAGGCGCGGAGCTTGTTGGAGACGGCCGAGATGGTGAACATGCGCTTGGACGAGATGCCATGGACCTCCTTGTTCTCGCCGTACATGGGCAGGTCGGCGACAGGGAACCACTTGATCTCGGAAATTTCCTTGCGAGTCATGGTCTCGAACACAGTGTCCATGGGAATGCCCGCAATGACGAACAGGCGCATCTCCTTGCCACGGATGACGCACTTGACCAAGTCGGTCTCGGAAATGTACGGCGCAATGTCAAAGCCGATCTCCTCGTAGACCTCACGGATGGCGCACTCGACGTCACTCTCGCCCTCATCAATCTTGCCCTTGGGGAACATCCACGAGCCCTTCGAGCCCCAGCCCTTGACAATAAGGCAGTGCTTGAGCGTCGGGTCGAGCAGGATGGCTCCACGCGTCGGAATCTTGGCCTTGTACTCGGAAAACCCGGTCATGATGTCCGACAGGAAGCTGTGGTACGGCTGAAGCAGCGGGCAGTGGTGGAACATGACAGCAGAGAAGGCGCGGAAGCCCATCGACGGCAGGAACTCATGCTGCTCGCAGAAGTAGTCCTCATAGAACCAGTGCGCCTGCTCGATGGCGAAGCAGATGCGCTCAAACGACGACAGCTCCTCATCCGGCAGATTGATCAGGAAGCGGCTGTGGCGAGAGCAGTAAATCACCGCACGTATGTGAGTATGCGTGTGTGTGTGTGTGTGTGTGTGTGTGTGTGTGTGTGTGTGTGTGTGTCGTGGGGGTGGTTGGTGGTGGTGGTGATGGTGCGCCTTGGCCATGACCCCAGCCTCGGCCATGACCACGACAGCAACGACAGACAGAGACAGCCCCCCCCCCCTCCCTACCACACAACAACGTACGAACTCAGATCATCCAGTAGCTCAGACAGCAATGCCACCTCGTCCACCGACAGCTTCTTGTTCGAGTGTGACTTGAAGACGGCACGGAGCTCCTTCAGCGGTGTGCTGGGAGAAGAAGACATGGCAGGGGACGGGACGGGAGAGGGAGGGAGAACGGAGAGCGGGGAGGAGGGGGGGGAGGGGAGGAAGGGGGGAGGAGGTGTAGGGGAGGAAGAGGGCTGGTCTTCTCTGCCACCGCTGCTGTTGCCCGCTGCATACCGCCCCCCCCCCCTCCCCTCCCCGTCAGGTCGCACTTGGTCGCCGCCCGCCCACTCGCCCGCTCGCCCGCTCGGCCGCCCGCCCTACGCCATGACGATCAAGCCAAAGGTGATCAACGCCACCAAAGTCGATCACACGCTACATGGAGATACCCATGGCAATTGAGATCGTCTCATTGGTGACATGCGCGGTTTCATCCATCCTATCTCCCATCCTGACGGCATTTGACGTTACGTAGCCATCGGCAGACGGCGTCGGTTGGCAGGAGACCAGTGGGGGAGGGGGGGGGGGGGGGGGACAAGGAGTGGGTGAGAGGGGTGCGAGGAGCGAGTGTAGCAACCACCCAGCTCGCGACTGACATGTCTGAGTCCTCGTATGATGCGTATGACGAGGATGGCTCGTACGCCGAGGGTTCGTCCTATGGCTATGGGGGCACCCCAGAGCCAGACGGTGTGGACGGTGCCGGCAGTGCTAGCGGCGACGAGCCGACCGAAAGCGAGCCGGAGCCGGTACGTACAGAGCTGGCTGATGCGACATTTTGGGCTGCCATGGAACTGAGTGTGAGTATGGAGGGAGATGGGACGTGTACTTGGGGATGTACTTACTCTGGGCTTGGTCATGTGCCTCGTCGGGCTGGGCTGCTGGTTGTGGTTGCCTGAATGGGGGGCGGTTGTCGTTGACCCCCAACTGCCGCTCGCTTCACGGCCAATGCCATGGTGGATGGTGGGTGTGGACGGATGGATGCTGGTGGCGATGGATGGGGTGGATGTGGACGTGGGCGTGGACGTGGGCGTGGTGTTGCATGTGTGTTGCTGCTCGATTTGGAGGACAGATCAGCAAACCGCTGGCCAAGGACGATCTCACCGACGCGCTGTCTGTCTTGGCCAAGACGGGGACGGGCTTGGAGCATGCGTTTGTGCGGCTTGAGCTGCATGATGCAGAGGTGACAGATATTGAGCTGCTGGCATCGTACCCGCATCTGCGGTACGTGGACCTGTCAAACAATGCGATCACGTCGATCCGGCCGCTGTCGCGGCTGGACCAGCTGGCGTGGCTCAAGCTCGAACACAACGCAATCAAGGCCGTGGACATGCGGACGCGGCCGTTTCTGCAAGTCGCGCTCCTTGCGCACAACAAGCTGACGTCTGTGGCCGGGATGGCGCACCCGCGGCTGGCGACGCTCGACGTCTCCCACAACGCGTTCGAGGCCTTTGACGGCCTCGACAACCTCACAAGTCTGGAGCGGCTGTTGGCCACCAACAACGAGCTCACATCGACGGCAGGCATCCACGCCAGCTCGCTCAAGGAGCTGCTCCTGGCCGACAATGCCATCAGCGCTGTTGAGGACATGGAGCACCTTCCAGCTCTTTCGCTCCTCGACATGCAGCGGAACGAGCTCTCGTCGCTCGACGGCTTTGTTCCGCAGCTGGCCGCGCTCTCGGTCGTGGACCTCTCGGAAAATCACATCGAAGACATTGCCGAGGTTGCCAAGCTCGCAATCCTCCCGTCGCTCTCGTCGCTCTTCCTCTACGACAACCCGATTGTCGAGCTCGACGACTACCGGCTGGAAGTCCGGATTGTCCTGCCCAAGCTCAAGGTACTTGACGGCGAGGACTACACCACCGACGAGATTGAGGAGGCCCAGCTTGTCGCCGCTGAGCGCGCCGAGTTTGAGCGTCGCAAAAAAGAGGAGGAGGAGGCCATGCTCGCCGCCGAGCAGCAGCGGCTGGCCGACGAGGAGAAGGCTGCCCAGGAGGAGCTGGCCCGCGAGAAGGAGCGCCGCGAGGCTGAGGCTGCCGCCGGCGAGGACGGCGAGGACGGCGACGATGGATCGGCAAGCAACGCCGGAAGCGGCGAGGACGATGAAGGCTACGACGACGACGACGGCGACGGTGAGGGCTCGGGCGACAACGGGTCCGAGTACGACGACGACGGCACGTACGACGGCTATGACTACTGATTGATGGCTTTAACGTAGGAATGCGTCACAATAACAGCGTTTACCCAGCACTGCCCACTGGCCATCGGCCCCTGCCATCTGCCCACTGCTCACTGCCCACTGCTCACTTGATCGAGCCTCTACTCGAGCATCTTCTGTTTCTTAGCCGGTGCGGCGGCCGGCGCCTCGTCCAGCGGGCGCTTCTTGGTAGTCGGCGCTGATGGCGGCGCCGGTGCGGGCGCGGGTGCGGATGCAGGCACGGGCGCGGGTGCGGTGCAGGCGCGGCCGCGGGTGCGGGTGCAGGCGCGGGCGCAGGCGCGGGCGCGGGCGCGGGCGCGGGCGCGGGTGTCGCTGCGGCAGCGACCGGCGCAGGAGGCGGCTGTGCAGCGATAGCAGGAGGCGCAGCGACAGCAGCGGTGGCCGCTGCGGCAGCCTTGGCCGCTGACTTTTCGGCCTTCCGGCGAGCCTTCATCAGCTCCTTGACAAACGGCGGGAGATCCTTGCGCTTGAGCGGGAGGATGTCGATGGTCATGTCCGACGAGCGGTCGGGCCACTCGGAGAGGCGCTTCTGGAAGGCAAAGGCCGGCGCACCAAGATCGATGCGTTTGTTGCGGCGCTTGAGCAGATCCTCGGCAAACTGGACGCCGACGAAAAAGACGCAGTTCTGGCGATCCTCGCCCGGAATGACGTTCTCAAACTCCTTTGTGTACGGGTGGACTGCCTCGATCTGGAGCTCGTTCTCGAGTTTCATGACAAAGTCGCGCAGGAGGCGCGACTCGACGTAGCCATGCCACACGCCCATGGCCTCGGGCGTGGCCGCGTACGCTGTGATCATGAAAAACGTGCGGTACATCTTAAAGAAACGCGGCGGCTCAAAGAGCTTGCCCCAGCTCGCCTGCCCGGCGTAGACGGCGTTGACAATCTCCTCGCCGCGCTCAAACTCGGCCCGGATGATCTCGATTGTTGAGCGCGTGATGTTTGTGTTGGCGTTGAGCGACGGGTACGCCGGCGTGAGAACCGGCATGAGGTGCCCGCGGTCGCGGTAGTTGGTCGGGTCCCACTGCGTGAGGCCGAGCATCGAGTCTTGGGCCGGGACGAGGCGGATCGGGTTCTTGCGAAAGTTCCACTCCTTGAACAGCTTGAAGAACATCGAGATGATCTTGGCCGGCGCCCCGTAGGGAACAAGCTGGCAGACGCGCGCCACGAGGATGGCGAGCGTGATTCCGTTGAAGAAGCCTTTGAGAAAGCCGTACAGCAGCCGTGACTTGGACCAGAGCCGGATGGCGCGGAGGACGAGCCGGAATGGGGCCGGATCCGGAATGACCTTGAGGATCTTGTCGGTCACCCGCGAGCCATTGAGCGTGCGCGCGCCCGAGTCGGTCATGCCCTGCAGCACCATGTCGTTGTCGAGCTGGAGCGTGTCTGGGATGGCTGACATAGAGAGGGAGGCCACAATGAGATCGATCTGGATGGTGGCAAAGACGATCTTAATGATGGGCACAACGGCCTCGCGAACCGCCACAAGCTCGGTCACCTCGGGCCGCGCCTCCAGCCGCGCCTTGAAGGTCTTGAAAAAGTCGTCGACGGTGGCGTCGCGTGGCAGGACGCAGAGCGTGTCAATATCCGACGACTCGGTGCAGACGCCGAGCCGGTACGAGCCGTAGGCAAAGATCTTGCCCCCGGCCGATGCCGCCACAGACGGCGGCTGCTTTTTGGCCAGCAGCGTCTCTTTCACCCAATCCTTCACCATCTTGTTCAGCTTGCCGATCACCTTTTGCCGCAGCCGCGCATGGGCCTCGGGCTCAAACTGGCCTCGCGCCACAAGCTCCTCCCGCAGCGCCCGCGACAGCGCCTTCTCGCCCTCGGTCGCCGTGTCAAGCGTAAGCGGCGGCGTCACGCCCCATTGCAGCGACATTCACCGGTGTCTTCAGACTCCTTTACGAGGGGGAGTGGGTGCGGTGAGGGGTGGGAGGGGGGGGAGGGGAGGGGGGGGGGGGGGAGGGAGGGGGCGAGGTGGTGCCCGTGCCCAAAGCCCATACCTCGCGGCTGGTGACTGGCGCCCTACCGCGCCTCACAAGGATCGCCAGCCGGCCGAGTCGCACAAAGGACGACTGCAAGTCGGCGGGGCGAGATGGCGAGCATATCAATCGCTCGCAGCGATGACATGCTACAGGAAGAGAGAGAGAGTGCGCTCGAGAGAGAGGGGGAGGGAGAGGAGGTGATCAACGCACATGCAGATCATTCATCATGTTCTGATCTGGTCCTCTTCGTAGTAGCGGTGGAGGGGGGGGGGGAGGGAGGGACCTCTGGCTTAAGA